TGTGTTTATCTTATATATGATGCCCAAACATTTGTCAGTCTCTCCTTGTGACAGGTCCTCCTGATTCTCCAACATCATTGTGAAAAATACATGTATTTTGCTCCAGTCACTGCAGTGCAAAACACAGGTTTCTGTACACAAATGGCAGAGCTGATGGCAGAGACCAGTTTTTTAACTCCTTCTGAACTAGTAAAAGAGTTAACCAAAACAACAGAATTTTAAGCTTTCTTATTGGAGCCGACTCATGCTTTCAAAGAGCCTAATACAGCCAAGGGACAGATACACAGTGTGCCTCTTACTCATACAGTATTTGTAATTCAATTCCAAAACAAGTATACATTTTGTTCACTGAATCTAAAGGCTACTAGTGAACCATCCCCTGGAAAAAAATATCATCTCCATCTTCCTCGATAGTTTGTTCAAATAGCTTCTTAGCTGGCTTTCTTCCTCTGCTGTATGTTGCTCGCATGCAGGTCATTATTCTGGCAGATACACTCCCTCCCACAAAATAAAGGTTGTCTTTAAAAGCAGTGGCTCTCGGGGTTAGGCGATCAGTCAACACAGGGAAAATGGAAATTCTCCTGTCACTGCAGATCAGGCTGAGTAGGTCTCGCTCTGCTGATTACAAGGTTGAAGGAAGGAAAAACTCCTGTAATCTGGAGAGTGTTCCTAGTCCCTCCAATCATTTTCCCTGCCTCAAGATCCAAAAGATTTGACACTAACTTCTGGGATTCCTGTGTGCGCCCTGTTTCAAGTAATAGGGGAACCCGTTTGGCTTGGCAATCATCTCTCCCCAATGCAAGTAAACCTTGCAGGGGAGTTAGTTTGGTTTTGCCAACCAAAGATGGGAGCCTCTGCTCGGCAGCGCACTTGATGGCTGTCCTTGCTGGCAAGGCCTCCACAGAGCTTTTACTCTAGCAGTTCTCCTGCCTGCTTTGACCTGCTTGCAAGCATCACGGCAGAGCAAAGAGCCAGCAGCAGCAATTCTGGAGTTCACCAGTCAACAGCTGAATGTTTTCAGTGAGGGTTGAATCAATTAGTTACCTTCACATACTCCGTGTCCCCTCCCACAAACACCCTGGGGGCAACAGCAGCGAGGTGCAGCGCGAGGAAGCAGGGCTGCAGTCACAACCGCCTCAAAGTACCGCTGCTCCTCGCGCTGCCCCTCGCGCTGCCCCGGGGCTCTCACTCCCTCAGGCCTCCCTCCGCACGCCCGCCCTGCAGGCAGCCCCTCCTGTGCCTTTCTGACCTCTCGGCCTCAGAGACCTTGGTGCCTCCTGCGCCGTAGGCTCCAGCGCTGCCTCGCGAGGGCTGGTGGCAATGCCAGAGCATTGCAGAGACAAGGGAGGTCCTCAGGGGCTCCGGTTGCGGGCATGGGCTTGGCCCCGGGAGAGGGGAGCAGCAGGGCCTCTTCCCCACAAAACCTCCTTGACTTTTCCGTGGCTTGGGACACCGTCATGTGCTCTCGTCCAACAAAATTCACAAACGACTCCTTATGAGGAACCTGGCGTTGACGTTGGTGTAACGTGTGTGCACATCCACACATCTCTGCCATGCCCTGAGAAGCTCCCAGTGACAAGCTCCTCAAAGGCTCCCACCTCTTCCCACAGATCTTCACAGGTCTCCCAAAGCCTCGTTCGGCACCCTCGTCACGCTAGGCTGTGCCCAGGTCTGACCTGCCCTGACTTCCTTGGCCTTCTCCGTGCAGAAGGAAGGAGGCGGTCACCCTCTGGCAGCAGCAGTTCCAGGCTGCAGTTGCTTGTTGAGCTCTGGGTGCTCTGCAACACGATACGGCCACCACATACTGATCCTTCAAAAGCATTACTTTCCTTTGGAAGCACTAGGCTATCTTGACAGCTTAACTCCCCGCTGCCCTCTTCCATTTGAAACACAGTATCTTCTTTTTCCGTCAAAAAAAAGGGAACAAAGAAACTCAAAATCTGAAATGGTAGCTTGGCGTCCCCAGCCGGTTTTGCAAAAGAAGCGTAACTAAACCCGTAAGCTATGGGACACAGGTCACGGCTCGGAATGGAAACGCATGACACTGATACGCCCCAGGTCAGAGAAGCACTTCCAAGGGAAGGAAGGAGGAGGGAAAGACTCGGCTACACCGCAGTGTCATCTTGTGGCTCCAGGGCCACAGGAGGGGAAGCGCAGCCGCCCTCCTCCTCCCGGGGACACAAGCTTTGGGCCCCTTTTTTCCAACAGGCTCTGCCGCCCGCTCCTAACTGCACTGTCCCACTGGCCACCAGCTGCAGGGCAATGGGAAAAGCCCGGCACTCGGCTTCTTTAACCCTTTCTGACAGGGTCTCCTCAGTGTCGTCTGCCTTCACAGCCACAGGCTCCTGGTGGATCACTGCTTTGGGACTAGATTCCTCCTAAAATGGAGAAAATTGAGAGTCTCTTAGGAGAGGCTGGTTAATGCTGTCAGGAGGGTCAGGGATGCTGCAGACTGGGCATAGAAGAGCTCATGAGAAATGCCAGCGAGAGTGCCTGCAGTTGTGTGCAGGAGGCTGCAAGCAAGGGTGGGAAGAAGCGTGCCTCCCACAGACCAGGGCTAGAGCGGGCAGAGAGCCGGGCTGGCCAGTGCAGAGGGCTGCTGAGACGGAGGAAAGCCGGCCGCGCAAGGGGAGAAGAGGGGACCTTGGGAAGCCACAAGCAAAGGGGCAGGGGGTTAGAAACAAAACCAGCAAAATGGCATGAAGGGGCAAGGTCTGCAAAGGGCCTCCCCAAACTTGACACGGAGTAAAGCTTCAGAGGGTTCCCTGGTGCTGCCAGCCCAGCCTGATGTTCGGCCACCCGAGGCTCAAGTTGCTTTTCCAAATGAAGTGCAACTCCCACACCTTCCTGTTTCTACTGGGAACCTTCCCAAGGTTTGCACACACACTCCTTTTACTTCTTCTTGCTTCTGCATTCAAAAAGGAAAGGAAAAAACAAAGACCTTTTTCCATAACTTGCATCCCATTAGGCAAGAGGACACTTACCAGGACAAAATGCACTGTGCAGCCTGTGACTTTGAGGCCCGTTTGCAGGGCTTGCTGCTGGGCATTGCCACCTTTGTTTGCTGGGAAAAGCGATGGGGAAGCATTCAAAATTTTCCCTAGGTGTCAGTTGGGGAGGAGAAAAAAGACAAAAAAACTTAATTTTCTTTAAAAATAAAAGTGAGATGTTATCATCAATTCAGAACAACAGCATCTGGCACCAATCAAGAGTTCAAGTGGTCCCTGCAGC